AGCTGCAAATAAATAACGTATCTTAATAGCAATCATGAATGACTAAAGATAAATACATAAACAGCTGTAAGGTGCTTTATAGATGGAGTGAAATGTTGATATTTCTGGACAGATTTGCACCAAGTTATATGATTTGTGATTGTAATAAACTTATCCACAACTCTATTTCTCTGCAAATTCATAAGACAACTATGTAGTCATATTTAAGTGTTCTTTAGTCAGGTCATCAAAGAAGACCATTGGCTGGTACAAAAAAGTACAAATACTGAGCCCTTTTCTAGTGCTGCATGTGTCTAGACTTGAGCTCCCTGCATGGACTCTATATCCAGAGCATTATACATGTTAATATGAACCTGTACATTCCTCTTTTTGATGTAATTTCATCATATTAACCTTTCTGTTCATTCTTTCATTCTGTCTCCTTCTCCCTCCCCTACCTTTCTTTTGCTTGACCTCTCTCTCCTGTACCCACCTCTCCCCCGTCTCTCACCTCACACACTTTCTCTCTCTCCCTCTTTTTCATCTCACACACTTTTTTGTCTCTCTCTTCCCCTCATCCTCCTCTCTCACCTCACACATTTGCTCTCTCTCTATTTTTGCCTCCCCTCTCCCTCTCACCTCACATATTTTCTCTCCCTCTCTCTCACTTCACACACTTTCTCTCCCTCTCTCTCACCTCACACACTTTCTTTCCCTCTCTCTCACCTCACACACTTTCTCTCCCTCTCTCTCACCTCACACACTTTTTCTCTCTCTCTCCCTCCCTCTCTCTCTCTCTCTCTCTCCCCCTCACCTCACACGCTTTCTCTCTCTCCTTCTCTCTCTCTCCCTCTGTCTCCCTCTCTCCCCTCTCTCTCACCTCACACACTTTCTCTCCCTCCCTCCCTCTCTCTCTCCTCTCTCTCACCTCACACACTTTCTCTCTCTGTCTTTCCCTCTCTCTCCTCAGCCCCTCGGAGTCGGTCGGTGCCTCGAAGCCCCCTCTCTGCTCTTCGTCCGTCCCGTCTCGCGTCCTCTTGCGCCAACAGCTGATGAGGGAGCAGCTTCAGGAGCAAGAGCGCAGAGAGCAGCAGAGATCACACCAGTCCTCCTCCCCCCACTACCCCCAGACCACTGCCACTCAGACCCCCGCCATCAACGTCACCTCGGCCCTGCCCCATGCTGCCCCAGTGCCCATGGAGGTGCTCAAGGTGAGTCCACTACTGCTGATTTCATTGCACTACAGCTGGACTATAATAGACAAACAAATATAAATGTCTTCAGTTTTGATTAGTTTGTCAATACAAGGTACATACACAATGCATATAAGAAACAATATAGAGTCCTACCCTTCAACTCTGATCAATTATTATGATGATGTTTTAAATATACACTATGCAACTTTTCTTGTGCTTTTCTGCTTTTCTCCAATGAACTGTTATGTTTCGTCTGGAATGTTCCACAGTATGGCTTTAAATTTATTTAGCCCCATCCCCAAGACATGGACAGGCCAGTTTACAAATCAGATATGTGGAGAGGTGAGCCTGCTCATTGTAAAAAGAAAAAAAAAGTTTTCAAGGTATTTCTTTCGCAGTGAAAACTACTGAAACAACTACAAAGAACATTTTGAATTACAACTTATTATAAACATATAAACTCTTTTGGTTATAGCATTACATTTTCATTCATGGGGTTGATAGAAAAGTTATTCTTATCTCCTTTTCAGATTGAGCAGTACTGTAACACAACTTTGACACATATATTGTATATTATTAGATAGACACAGATATGTCGCAGCCCTCAGTGACGCTGTGTTTCCTAGCCTAGTTTCCCAGTGTCTAAAGTAGCTCCATGTGTCACTATTGTGGTCTGCATAGTATTTATAGCAGACAGTCAGACAGATGTGGATTTCTTACTATGTATGTATGTGTAAAAAGTCTCAGAAGTGACTGAAGTGTGCTCAAATGCGTACACAGGGATTATCTTTTTCTGAGAGAATTCCTCTTTAATGCACGCTGTGCTTCCAGCCATTTGGATTTAGCCATCTTTAATCCTATTTGCTCAGCTACATTCACATCTTTTCATAGCTTTGATTCTCTGGCAGGCCAAGGGACAGCAGACTGGTCAGATTTTCTGTATGAGTAGAGAGCGTTGTGTTGAGGGAGCGCAGCGCTGTGGTAAGTTGCTCTTTTTGTTAAACGTTTAGCGTGGATAGCCAATACATTTATATACTGTTTGTTTTACCGACTAACTTGTGTTATATAACAGTTAAGGTCATTTGTCTGGTTATTTGTTTTAAAAAGTTGTAAAAGTTGTGGTTAAACGAGGAATGCTTAGAACATGAGATTTAGTTCACTTTGCATGTTGAATTTGGTCATAAAGTTTATTTTCTCTTTATTGACTTTATTGAAAATAACAGTGGATGCAGTAAAATGTCTTTAGAGAGAGTAAATTAGTAATTAGCTTGATGCCATTGCTCTTTAATTTTGAAAATGTGAAGTAGAAATAATATTTTGGAGCAGGCAGGTGAACCCGAACTGAAATTTGAATCATGCTGTTGTGTAAGGTGTGTAAGGAGACGCAAACAAAGTGTTAATTTATTGCCTTGTTTTGCTGACTGTTCTTTATTGCCACTGTGTTTTGATTTATGTGTGGCGTAATGTGTAGATGTAAATGTTGGAATTTCCTTCGGGATCAATAAACTTTAACTTTTTTTTAAGTAAAGTAATTTTTCAAAAACTTAATTCTTGCTTGAGTTGACGATTTAAGGCTACTTTCCACTGTCCAAGGCTTAATGTCAGAAAGCATACATTTTGTTTTTATGTACTTTTTTCAGTTTATCTGTATGATCACATTCACATGCAAAAGTTGCTATGTCCTACTTTGGCAGTACTTGAGTAGTATTTCCATCAGATATGTTTAACCATTGTTGCTATTTGCTAAATGTTTTGAAGTAACCGCAATCTTAAAAGAGTAATTTCCACCTTCTCTCACCATCTGTGTGACATGGGCCTTCAGAACAACAAATGCAGTTTTCATTCCTCACTAACATGGCCTCTTCTTGAATCATAAACATTACTCCATAATCTTCTGTTCTTTGAGAGATTTTACCCCCTCCCTCCCACTCCCTCTCTCTCCTTCTCAAACTCCCAGCTTTTGTACAATACACAACGCTGGAGTAAGTTCTCTGGCTTACGCACATTCTTCATTGACTGAAGAAAAGGCCGCTGAGGCTTGAGGCTGCTGAGCTGGGTTAACCTGCTCTCTGTCTGTGGGTAGATTAGCACGGGGGGTACCAGGCAGAGCAACAAGACCTCAAAAAGTGCAAACATTAAGCTTCGATGAGTTTATCTAAAGACTGATTGGGCTCTTAATTAACCAAGTGACCTCTGAACTTTGAGAGGAATAAGTATGGGATCTGTGGAGGGATCAGGAGAGTGGGGAACACAGCCTTACCACACACCAAACGCTAATTCAGGGAGGAATGCTCGTAATTAGCTCCTCATTCCTGGGCATATTTACGAGGGAAAAATCTACGCTTTGAAATGTATGTACAACTTCCTAAAATGATTTCTGGCTCTTTTTTTAAGGATTTGTGGTGCCAGTACCAAGATTAATCTGTACAGTAATGTAAAGTGAATGTGTCTCGTGACTAGTTGTCAAAAATTAATAGAAACATTGATAGGATTATAAGTCATTTTTTGTAGTTCAGTGATTTTTAGGCGGGACCAAAAAAGAGGCTCACATTAGATTACAACTAATATGCCATTTCCATCTGCTGATTACAGAATTAAGTTAATTTAACATGAAAAAGTCCCCGAAAAACACAACATTTCTTAGTTTGCAACATTTCTTTGCAGTTTACAGTTACCATCATTTTTGGTGATCTCTAGCATATGTCATTATTCTTCTCCACCCAGTCCTACTGTCCTTATATTTAAGATTTTAATAGCACTTTTATTTATGTCAGATGCCCTTCACAACCAGATACATTACTTTTGGAGTAGCAATGCAAGTGCAGTGATCCAAAGACACAGTAACAATGTATGATGAGGGTTCAAACTTGATACTCTCCAGGTTAGTGGTTGTTTGCATAAACCACTGTGCCACTTCTGTTATTGAATATCTGTTAGTATTATTGCCATGTGCATTTTGCGTAATTAAGAGTTTTCTTATTGCATCAAACAGTTTTTCTCTTTTTTGATCACTAACCTCCAGTGAATTGTATTGACATTTAAACTCCCAAACAAAGTGGGTTATTCTTGTAGCAGCCAAATAAAGGCTTCTTGTTAATGCATCTTGTGAAGGCCATCAAAAATATGTTTTCAGAGACCACAAAAAATAAGAAACTGCTCTCCACTGTCTCTCTGCTGTGGACACTAACAACAGTTGGCCTTGTTTGTCTGTTTTCTGGACTATCTACGGGTTATGTTGGTGAAACCCTCGAGGCAGGACGAGGTTTGAAATCAAGATAGTTAACAAAAAGCATACTGTTCCATTTTACAGAGCATGTTATGTTTTGCAATCATTAACAACATCTAATTTCCTCAGTTCACATCATTTTTGTTTTCTGCAATTCAGTTTTATTTTAAAAAACATACTCACATTCAAAATAGTGAACTCCACTTGTGAGCATGTGTGAAATAGTTGTTTTGACAATTAAATTCTATTTTTGATGTAACAATATAACCGTAAGACTGTATATAACTACAGAATTAGCTAATTACAATTTGCTAATAGACAATTATTTAGAGCCTTCATTTAAGGAAGGCTTTGTTTCCAAAGTCTTCCTTAAATGTTCCCTAATAATGAACTGGTCTGGATTTCAGAGCAACGCCTGAGGGCTGTAGACAGAACGTCTTATCATCCACAAACTGTAGCTTTTGTGCACTGCTTTTCACATCTGTACAGTGATAGTGTCAGGGTATGGGGTCAAATACATAAACAAAATACTAGAACAAGTATCAGTTCAGTTAAGGGTTAAGTCACACAATTACTGTATAAACTAATATATAACTATATAATTAATGATGAGGTTACTAGGCTAAATAAGTAGTAAATATTAGTAACAGTAAAAAGTAAATATTTGCATTATTTCTATCACTTCTTATAATAAATAATACTATTTATAGTAATATAATGTTGTTACCTCCTCAAAAACATATCTCGAGTTGTGTTTTGTTTCATTCACACATGTTTTAGTAATCCTGCATTATTAGTCTGTCCACATCTCCAAAGCTCAAAATGCTCTGTTTCATCTTTTGATGTCATGAAGCAGTAGTTTTCAAGTTAACAGCTACATTTGCCTTTTGTTCAACAGAAGGGCTGAAATGATCCAAATCCTAGTGAAGATGTTTAGAGTTTAAAAACACAGTGGAGCGCTTCCTGTATTACCATATGACATCACAAGGTGAAATAAGGTGTTGTCTGTTTGAGAGAACTTAGCCAAAATATGCAGGCTTTGTGTGTTAAACATGTGTGAATGAAACAAAGCACAACTCCAGGTATTTTGATGTTTTTGGTGAGGAAAATAGTGCAATATAGGCCCTTTAACTGTTACATAAAAGGAATTACTTGTCTTTAGAAATGAGCTGGGGCGGTCTGAAGTATAGGTTTAGCAAGTAGAAATAACACAGTATAAAATTTAAATGTTATGATTTTTGTTTAATAGAAGCTCGCGGAACAAGATATCATGAGAAAAAATTGCCACCAGATGCACATAAGAGAAATATTAAGAGTTTTTTGTCCATGTGTTTAGATTTGAATTGGACACAGAAGGGGATTGGTAAATTACACCTCTTAAGAAGCTCTGGTTCCAAAAAGTAGTGCTACAAATACAGCCAATATATATACAAATTAAAATAGAGTGGCCAAAGATTTTAGTTGAATAGCTCAAATTATGTTTTATCAATTGTCAAAATCTTGTCTTGTCTCGTTTTCATGACCCAATCTGGTGTGTATTGACATTATGAGCAAACAACAGTAAAATCTTTTTCTCTGAATTTTCATTCAAATTCACTCCATGTAATACATCACCATTCAGTATGTTACCAGTTTTATGAAATGGAACTTTCTGAATAATAAAGTACAGTTAATGTGACAAAACAAGACATAAAATAAAACATTTAGGTTTCATTTTTTAGAGAATGACTTAAAATGCTTGAAATTATCCATTACTCTATAATATTTAACATTTTAGTTTGTTTCTATCCACAAATCCCAGAGGAGATGGGTCTTTCGTTCTACTCTTAATTATCACTAAATAATATCAGGCTGTCTCACAAGTTCATTGCAACTAATAAAATGTTGTTGCTTTACCCTAATTACAATCTCATTTGTTTCCAGGGCAAAAGAAACTAAAGCTTGCAAGATCAGGCTATATTTAGTTTTTATTACAACATTTATTGGCCTCGCGTTTCAAGTCATTAACACCCTTTGTGCCTAATTTAAGCTGTAGACAGACACATCACTGTACTGTACATGTGCTGCCTGTCTCTGTGTGAAAGACTGCAGTCTCTATATTTAGAAATAAAGGAATATGAATCCTATAGTTGATGGAAAATACAAAGAAAGATATACAAAGGAGTTACGGATGAACTGAATTGGAATCACAGTTTGAATTGTCAGAATCAGCTCATCGCAAAGACGGCAGTTATTTAAGCAACATCATTTCCTTTGTAAAAAACATCTTATATTGTCTTATTGTCTAAAAAAACTGCTAACCTTTTAGCATTGACCTCTACATACATGATGCATGCATGTGATTAATGTATTTCAATCTTCTCCTAAATATTAAATGTTCTTAGAAGTGTTGAAAATGTGAACATTGAACAGAGTCATATTATTAAAGCATAAATTAGTCACAACTTGCAGGCTTTAATATTACATTTTTTAAGATTATTTGTAAGTGTTTATTTATTTTTAGTGGACTAAAAGACCAAAATGACCCAGGATCAGCCTCGGTTAAGCTCCTTCTACATTGTTAGGCAGTAATTATGCTTTAGTAATACTCCATTTGTGAACAGAATTGGGTCACTCACTACCAAATCACTTGGATTTGATGAGATGTCCTTCTATTAAATGTCTGAAATGCATTATCAACTTTTTGTCCATGTTATTACATAGTGGTTTTTGAAATGGAAATCAAAATGTTGTTAATTATCTGATTTTTCTGATTTGTGGTTATAGTGGGTATAATGCAGAGTTCTCCAACCTTTGTTATCTGGTGATCTGCCCTTACAAAATGCTGCTATAATTTTAGTGGCCAAGGCAAGCCTTATTAGATGGGGTACAGATAGAAGCTTATAAAACACAAACAATTATCCATTTATTAGTGCACAAAGTCAGGCATCAAAATGATACTTTTACAATGGTAATACACATTTAATTAACACATATAATTCAAGAAATCCTTTAGCAAGTTTCTTGGCAGGGGGTGGAGAGCTTCTGGCAGCTCCTGAGCTACAGGTTGGAGACCCCTGCTATAGCAGGTTGAACTTTCTACTGTTGCTCATATATTGCTTGTATAGTGTATCGCAGATATTCAACATTTTAATGCCAAGAACCATTATACTTCAGCTTTTATCCCACATTTAAAAAAGTAAACTCTACATAGCCATGTCATTTTGAAGTATCTGAAATGCAGCCTATCTAGTGGTAAAGCAAACGACTGTAGATAAATCCTTCCTCCCCCCTCGGCCCCTCTCCCGGGCAGTAGTGATTGAGTGCTTAAGGTGCTCTGCTTGTACCTGCGGGTTGAATGCTAATTTGCTAACGTGACTCACATGAGGCTAACCTATGGCACGGTGCTGCCTCACATGAGCACTAAACCACTTTGTCCCCTGTTGACAAGTGAGGCTGTTTGTCACTTGAACAAAGATCTAATTGATCGCTTGATTGATCAGTTCGCTGTATTAATATAAACATTTAACACACTTGTGCAACTTTATTTTAATTAATAAGTGTGGCAACAACAACAAAATATAGCTAAATGAGTACTGTTCCAATTATACAGTTTTCTACTTTTTCATATTTTGTATTTTTATTTATTTTTACAAAATAGAAACATATGAGCAAAACCTAGAACTTGTATTATGTGTGCTCAACCTGAAGCCTGTACAAGTGTCCCAATAAAAAAATAAGTATAATAAATAAATCATCTGTTCTATATTTAATAGTATCTGGTATCTTGATCATAAAATATTATTGTCACATTTATTATAAGCTTGAAGAACTTTTTCATGTATGCATGAAACAACAAATTAACCTAAAGCCATCTCCCTGACCTTCATTGTGATATTAAAATCAGAACTGTATTATTTTTCCAACATTTTGATTTAATAATGTCACTGTCTTGGTTATAAAAGGTATGCAGTTTAGGGTCTCTATAGATCCAACAATGATTAAGATTATCATTATTATTAAGTACAAATTATTCTTTGTAGTTGACTATTATTATTAATAACTATTAATCTTTGTGCTCCTAATCATTCATCATAAGTTTATAATATGAATTACTATTTTTTGTTAAGACACAGACTTTTGAGCAAGTTTAAAAGCATTAGAGCTCGAGGCAGACATCAGTGAAAGAGGTGCTCCCTCTAACACAAAGGCCCTGACTGTTTTTAGCTCATCCTGAAATCAAGTGATACACCGTAAAAGAGTCAATCCACATTTCAATGTAAGACAACGGTAATTTGAAAAGGCTCATTGTCTCCTACAGATGGTTTGACAACACGCATATCTAATGATCTTTGCAGACCTTTAAAAGCAAAGCAAAAGGATCATGCTCAGTCCTCCACTGCAGCAGGCGAGGAAGGAGCTGGAGAAGTAACAGACATAGTTTTAGAGTGCTATTAAAACATACATGAATGTATTTATTTTTGTTAGGAAAGAATACTTTAATTTAACATAATGATGCTTGAGATGCTCGGCTGTCAACCTTATGAGGTATGTTGAGATTTACATTACAACATATTTAGATTAATTTATTCAAAATGTAATTAATATTTTGGACTTTTTAAATCTAAGGGTCTTGCTTTATTATTGTCTTTGCCTTGTGAAAAAAAAAAAAGATTTGGGAAGTTTTTAATCCTGATGCTTTTTTGTTAAACCATTTTAAGGTGAGAGGAATGGGTAATAGGTGAAGTGAGTTGGCACTTAGATTTGAACCTGTTTCATACTGGTGGGAAGACGAGACTCAACCCACTGTGGCACTGTTGTTTTTTTTTACTTCACTGGTGTTTGATCCGACTACTGTGTTTCAATGGTTTGGATACATGACTATGCATAGATCCTTTTTGATTGCTGGATTTGTGGCATGGTTGTATTGCAGTATACCTTTATATAACTTCACATAAAACCAGATTCATCATGTTACTTTGTCTGCTGAGGTGCCTCTTGATGTTGAAAAAAAAGTTTATCTGAGGGAATTCTAAATAAAATTGGATAATTAATAGATTTTGCTTTTGTTTATTTTATTTTATTTTTTTTTACAAAAATCTCCTATATGCATAATTTGTACATAAATATTGCCTCTTCCCCTTCATCTGAGAGTGTGTGTTATCACATCTACTACCTGAAAACAAAAACTAAACAATGATTCAATGATCAACCTTACGTCCCTCTTGTTTTCTTCTGCACAGGTCCAGACCCACCTGGAGAACCCCACAAAGTACCACATCCAGCGCTCACAGCAACAACAGGTGAAGCGTTACCTGGGGAAACTTGGCTCTCAGGCCCTGAGCTTGCCCTGCCCCAACCAGTCCTCTGACCACGGGGGCATGCCGCCAGGGCCGGGCAACAGCGCCCCCAACAGCCCCATGGCCTTGCTCACCCTCAACTCCAACTGCGAGAAAGAGGTACAATAGTCCTAGGGGCTGTGAAGTATCGTGCGAAATCTGATCACTGATCACCTGCAAATGTGTCAAAGACAAAGCTTGGGTGGTCCAAAAAAATAAACCAGATACTAATCAATGTCAATGCTAACATGAAACGAGATATTGCACTGATCAGGTTTTGATACTCTACATAGGTGTACAAAGTTGCACCTTTTCGGAATAGTTTTAGAATCCACGTGATATTTTTAAATAAGCTATTACTTTGCACTGAAAATTACATCCTGTTGAATATATAGTGGTTTTATTATCCTACGCTATCAAGCAACGAGTTCACTGTCACTATCAAAAGAGAATTTGAAATTTTAGTATTGTGACAAAGAGTAAGACTAAAAAAATTAGACCATACAACTGTTCTATTTGTTTTCACATTGTTATTTTATTAAAATCTGCAAAACATCAGCCTTATGATTCAGCCATATTAAGTTTTATGAGTATTAGATTACCTGATACTGCTATAAAGATATGTTTGTGATATTAATGTATATTGTACTGTCCTAAGGTCCTCCAATGGTTTCTTTTTTAGATGGACGATGTAATTGATGACATAATTAGCCTGGAGTCCAGTTACAGTGATGAGATCCTGGGTCTGATGGATCCAGGACTTCAGATGGCTAACACAGTATGTATTATGCCATTCCTTAGTATCTACAATCTTTTCTATTCTATATCTATTAATATCTATTTTAATAATTTTAGGGACCTATATTTATTCTATTTTATGTTATAATGTTGTTTCCTCATCACAAACATACTTGGAGTTTCATTCACACATGTTTAACACACAAACTCTGCTGCAGAGTTCTTCTCTCAAAGAGAACACTCTGTTCCACCTTGTGATATCACATGGTAATACAGGAAGTGCTCCACTGTGTTTTTAAACTCCAGACAACTTCACTAGAATCACTGGGATAATTTCAACCCCTTTTTATGTTATTGTTAACTTAAAAACTACAACTTAATAACATCACAATGTGGAGTCATAATAAAGGGTTACTCAAACATGCATGAATGAAACAAAATAGAACTCTGAGTATGTTTTTGAAGAGGTAACATTCTAATATGGCTTAAAGCTTATAAAAATAAATTTTGCATAATATAATAGTCATATTTTTATGCCACAACATTAGTCTTTTATGTCTTCTTTAGATCCCTGTTCCTGGCAACATTATTGACATGTACGGTAACCAAGGTATGCCTCAACAAGGTCTGCCCATCAGCAACTCCTGCCCAGCTAACCTGCCCAACATCAAAAGGGAATATTCCGGTAAGACACATTTTCCTGAATATTTGTAAGGTGATTGTGTGTCTTATGTTTGGTTCAAATTAATTAATTAATAAAAAAAATAGTAGTATAGTTGTGTATGATGTTATGCTTGTTCTTACTCATAGTTTGACATCTATTGGTAATCTTGACATTCCTGTTTTGCGAGTAGAAAAAAACAATGTGCATGCTAACTCATGTGCATGTGTTTGCATTATGTAACACTAAAACACAGTTGTTCCTCTTACAGTTTCACAATCCCCTGCCATCATGCACATGCTGGACAAGTCTGGATCCTGTGGCAAATATGACAGCTATCAAAGACCTGAAGGGTTCCCTGTGGGTATGTCAGATTTTCACCCCAATGTGACAAAACACAGAAATCATTTTAGACTAAGGTTGTGAAAAATCATTACCAAGATACTAATCTGTACTAAAACTAGAAAGTAGATACTCGATAACACATAAATAGGACAAAAGTGGACCTTCCTGAATAGTTTTAGATCCATATGTATATCAGAAATGAATGTACTGTAATATTTCTTGAAGATGATAGTAGATTCTTAAAAGATGATAGTAGATTCTTAAAAAAAAAAGAAAGAAAGAAAAAGTGTTTTTGTAATCATTATTATGTCAAAATTTGTATTGATAACATTTTCCTTGGTATCGAAATCAAGGCTGAAATTTCATTACAGTTCAGAGCAGACTTTATTTAACTTTGTATTGTCATTAAACCTTTACTCATTGAATGTTGTTTTTCCATAAAAAAGAAGTCCGTGCCCTGGCCAAGGAGAGGCAAAAGAAAGACAACCACAACCTCAGTGAGTTCAGAGGACATTTTGTTCCAGAGAAAAAAAAACAATTTCATCTTTATGATCTTAAATGAAACTTTTATTTCTTATTCTTTGCAGTTGAGAGAAGACGGAGGTTCAACATCAACGATCGCATCAAGGAACTGGGTACCTTAATACCAAAATCCAATGACCCGTAAGTATTTCTTATATCTATCATATAAATTAAAATGAAGTGCTTTTTCTTGTAAACCACAATACTGATCAACAGCAACTTAACAATAGTGCCTCAAAAACACATCTTCAGAAATGACTCCCTTCTGCATCATGAATGTATTTTAGTAGCCAAGAATCTGCATATTTTGTCCTTAGTGAACTTTTATGAATGCTTGTCACTTGTCACTGCTTGAACATGCATTCATACTGTAAGTGGGCTCACCTCCTCACAGATATGACGTCTAACTTGGCCTGGTGAACACATGCTTGTCTCACTGGAAATAAGTATGTCTAAAGGCATACTGTGGAACACTACGAACAGAGCAATAACATCTCCATGGAGACGGTTAATAATGCATTATTAGTGATGTAATAATTACACTGAACATTAAACTTAGCCATTCAAGTTATTAAATCTGTGTAAATGTGCCGGAGAGATTCATTACACTGAATGTTTCAGTTTAACAGTGCTTCAGTTATGGCTGCCTGGTTTAAACAATGTGTCTTGTGTTGAAACAGGGACATGCGCTGGAACAAAGGCACCATTCTCAAGGCGTCTGTGGACTATATCAGGAAACTCCAGCGGGAGCAGCAGAGAGCCAAAGAGCTGGAGACACGGCAGAAGAAGCTCGAGCACGCTAACCGGCATCTCATGCTACGGATACAGGTACAAACAAGATTGTGCAAATAGAGTTCAACAACAGTCAACTGGGATTAAGCAGGAGTAGTATTTTGCAGTATTTTTCTATAACAGCATCTAAACCTTTTGTGAACCACATTATACCCCCTGTTGTGCACCCCTTCACTTGGCATAAGAACATGTCAAAAAATAAATAAATAAATAAATAATAAAAAAAAAGATAATCAGTACCAGTAGAATCTTTCTTGAATGAACAAAGTCTTTGCCCTTGCTTTATTAAAGTAAGGTGTAGATATTATAAAGTTACACCCAAAAGTAACAGAAGCTATAGAACTAGTATCTTATCATTTGATATAATGAAAGACAGCCTAAAATATGAGACTAGCTTCACTAATACTGAAATATTGTGGCGGTAAAATATTCACTGACTCCTCCCTTGTTTGTGCAGGAGTTGGAGATGCAGGCTCGTGCTCATGGTTTGGCCATCGCCTCCTCTGCACTTTGCTCAGCTGAACTCGGGGCCCGACAAATCAAACAGGAGCCTAGCATGGAGGACTGTCACCAGGACATGTACACGCTGCACCCCCAGCACCACCACCAGGCCTGCACCCCTGAGCACCCCACCTCTCTGGAGCTCAGCGACGGCCATGGTAACTACCAAGAGTCCACCCACTACAGCGTCCACAACAAGGCAGGGTCCAAGCTAAACGATATCCTCATGGAAGACACGCTGTCCCCGGTGAGAGGGGGAGACCCGCTGCTCTCCTCTGTCTCCCCTGATGCTTCACAGGACAGTAGCCGCAAGAGCAGCGTGAGCATGGATGAGAATGAGCAGGCCTGTTAGCACCCCCTACTGGACAGAACTCTGTACAACCACTCAAACCTTGAGTTGGGACTGTTCTTTTGAGCTGCTGTAAAGATTCTCCCTTTCCTCTGTTTACATGTTTGTTAATATCTTGTGCCCTCTACTTTTATTTCAAGGACTGATTTTTTTATGTGTAATGCTTTAATCAGAATTTTATGACAATGAGTTTTAAAAATAGTTTTTATATTTAAACGACTATAGACTTATCTCTGCATAGAGGTTAGATTGTGCTATTTCTACTGATTCCAAAGAATCTAGCTAAGTTATAAATCGTGGTCAGAAATGTAGATATTCTGCTTTCAAATCACTAGCAATAATATAATTGTATTTATTGAAGTATCCTGCTTTACACTCCTTGTGTCTTAGATTGAACTTGAATGTGCCAATGCCTTATGAAGATGTGTGGACATGTGGTTCTGCTAGTGAGGCGTCAGAAATGAGGTTTAAATTTGTATATTCTTTAATCAGTTGTAGATTTATTTATCATTCTTGTATTTCGCTTAAAAGTTAATTTATATCAAGATAATTAATAATAATAATCATTTAAGTATCTGATTATTAAAGCATGTGAAATCAAATCGAAAATTACTATACAAAAGGCAACAAACTATAGAGATTTTCACTGCCAAAAACACAAAAGCACAAACATGTCCCTGTATACCATTAAATCACTGTTCTCTATAGAGCGGTTTTTAGGGTTGATGAATCTGAATATATAAGTTTTCAGATTAATATAATGGTCTAACCAAATGGTTAAACTACAAAAGCACAAACTACTGTTTTTTTGGTCACTTTTTTGTTACTGTCCATTCAAATCTTTATCTATTGTTATTACACTGCTCACTGATTATTGCCAGGAGTATAAGGAGACTGTTTTGAGATTTTGTATGTGATGCATTTATCCCATTCAAATACACTGAATATTCTCACAATCTATTACAGAATTTGTTAGGGGAAAAAAAGATAAGTTATAAGTTATCTTCTTCTACTACCCATGAGTTTCAGAGTGATGAAAATTTGGCACTGTTGCATATCTTTTAAATGGCTAGGAGCACTCAAAACAGTTTCTACCTTCTACTCACCATCTCAAAATGACACCTACAGTCAGGTATCTGAAACTCATGAACTTGATGATTTCTTTCTATGTAGCAGAATGGAAAAATGCCTACTTGGGTTTAGCTGCCCAGTCTGTGCTAGTGTTGTCAATTTTGAGACTCAATACTGACACTAAAAACACTCCTTGTTAGACAATGATATGTATTTTTCCACACAAAATAATAGTAGGTTTGTTACTATACCATGTGATCTTACAATGGGAATGATACAGACCAAGACCATTTTAAGACTATTCAGGAAACATAAAATTTTGTCCTATCTGGTATTTCTCAGTATAGATACTAGTTCAAATGAGTATCTAGTTTCAAATCTAGCTTTAGCATCGATTAGTATCTGGAGATCGACACTTTTGACAACCCTAGCAGTCATAGCCTGTTTAACTATGCAGTGGCCACATTTGTGCCTGGGTGCCCTCCACATGAATGAAGAGATTTTACATTTGTATTGATTTAAGTGCCTTATATTGCTTCTGTTACCGTAGCGATTTATGTTTTATACTTCTGAGACAAAGAGCCGCTGAGACTTCACTCTTATGCTTTGACAAGTTGTTTATTTTGCTAAAGGTTAAGTTACACAATGATCTCAGTGTTGTGTTATAGACAATATTGTTGACACTGTTTGCACGAATGTAATGTACAACTTATTGTCGGTGCCAAAATGTGTTGCCAAACTTAATACACTGGATGTTTATAGCGGAGTAAGTCATTTTGAGATGTCTGAAAATGTGAAGATTGGTAATTAATATTGATTATACCCAAAAATGTCTGTTCATACAAACTATTTAAATTATTTTCTATCTATACGGTATAGTTGTTGGTTGTAGTCTTGAAAATAAGCACAATAACTGAATACTTAGTAATAGAAATTTCATGAGTCTGTCCATTTTCATCTGTTACACTTTATTTAAAATGAATGTAGCAATAGAAATGGTAGTATTTTAGTGCACTGGATACAAATTGTTGAAGTTAAACTCACTGGTACATCACGTGGAAGCTCTTGTGAGAAGTATTAAAATTTTATTTGAATATTTCTACAGGCTGGTGTTTTTCTTTGTTTAATCATTTCGAATAAGAAGAGAGTTCACTTGTCCACATTTGATGAGCTTGACAAAGAATATCCTCTTCTATCATATCATGGAATATTTCTGTAAAAAACAAAATACAATAAAAACGGTAAAGTTTTTATATAGTACTTTTTCATCTTGACAGCACTCAAAGCACTTTACAACAAGGAACCACACATACATTCATACACCAGTGTATGCAGCAGCGACACAGTGACAGCTGGATTTGCACTGCCAACCTGAGGGTCAGTGAATCTGATCGCTCAACCAATGATGTTTATGTCAAGAGCAGAATTCGAACCACCAACCTTTTGATTGGTGGACAAATGTTCTTACCAACTGAGCTACTGTTGCCCTGGGAAATCACCTGAGTGCGACATGACATGACATGACATTTACATGACAACTTATTTATTTATCTATGTTATGTATACATTTAAGTAAATATGGGTTATGGGTGGGGTCTAGTTGGTCTAAATAATTTGTTGACATGGTACACAAAACCTGAATCAATAGAAAATATAGCTGGATAATATTTATGTAGGTTGAAGAATACAGCAAGGTGCTAACAATGTTAATTATTTCATTACATTATAATGTATGACATTATAATACAATACTATAACCAATAATAACAATGAAGGTTTGATCCTTTGATGAATGTATGTTTTGCACTTGACACATTTACATGGGCAATGAAAAAACAACTAGAAAGACCTGATACCTGATAGAGATCTGTTTTTTGGTGGCTGCTGTATTTTGAAAACAAAGAACAGTTAAGTTGTAAAATAACTCTTTAAAGCAACATTGTTTCTTTTGTTCTCTCTTTTTTGCATATTTTTCTTGTCAAAACTTGTACAGATGAGAATTAAAAAGTCAGATTTCTCATCAGATATAACTGTTTACATGACATTTTAATAATAACTCCAGCAATCAGATAATGATCATATTTTTGGTGTGCATGTAAACATTGCTGTCTGTACCTGCTTGTCCCAGCCCGGTAGGGAGGGGCATCCTGGGAGACCCCCCTGAGTGCTTGAGCCTCTCACTGAGGGACCTATGAATTAGGTCAAGGGTGCAGTCCTGGTGCCACAGTGGCAGGTGCAGTCCCTGCATGCACCTGATGATACGCCCCTTCTCCTCTGCAGTCAGGAGCCCTCTCAAATGAGACACATACACCATGAAGCACATGTCGATGTTCACTGCCTCGCCATGGAGTAGAGCCGGCAGCACTTTCTGTACAATTAGAAATTATTAGAAATACTTAAAAGAGTTCTATCAAGGCACTCAAAGTGTTTTAAATCAAGGAACCCATTCACACACACACGCGCGCGCACACACACACACACCAGTGTATGCAGATACAGAGGTGAGGCAGGGTAAGTGTCTTGCCCAAGGACACAACAAGAGTATAAGACAAATCAATCAGTCACACATTGTACAAGACTCCACTCTGTTATTATGTACTGTTACTATAGTGGATTTTGGTGGATACTGACCAATGCAGAGCACGGAAACACAGTAGTTAAGTAATTGCTCCAATTAATTTGAATGTTTGTGGGTTTCAGTTTCCTGGTTTAGGTAACATTTGCAACGACAATTTACTACATGAGCTTTCAGTGCTTACTTAATTTAAATGTACATTTCCATATTTCCTCATAAATGTCCATAAATGCAGCTAAATATTTAACTTGCAAAATTCCTATGATTATATTGTGAGATTTATGATTAGTTGTTAGACTTGGATTTGGGTGGGTCCCTGTCAACTCCTCTTCATAGTAAAAAGAAAACCCAATATTATTTCTCCATGTTTGTTGTAATAGTGTGAATTGTTGCTATGTTATAAAATTAGCTTTATCAATGAATGGATTAAGAAACCATTTCAAGTTGTGGGCTGATCAGGTGCCCAAAGTCCACCAGTCGGTCCAGGTCATCCTCCCATAGGTTTGGGGCGAGTTCCTCCAACATGGTTTCTATGGCGATGCAGGTACAAGCAGAGGCGGCATCAGAGCTCTGCAGTTTGGAGTCCAGCATCTGTGAACCCTGAGCTTCCAGCAGCTCAAACAGACCACGGTGCTTCATCAGCGCCATCTTGGGATTGTAAGGAAATTAATGTTTATTTAGCATTGTTGGTTAAAGATGACAGTTACTCATACACATGCAAAGTGTGTAAAAATAATGACATCAAGTGTTATCCATGCATGATTTAATGTTAAGACTCAACCAGTTCAGTCATAAATAGGAGTCCAAAATGTCAAATTTTAGACCTTTGGATATTGTGATAAGAAACATTGTGTCTTCACAGCTAATTCAGTTACTGACATCTTAAAGAGAAAACAAAACCAGCAAAGTTATAGGTAATTATCATACCAGCAGCTTTACATCATTTTTTTTAATCGGAAAATTTGGTTTTATCATTTGCTCTATACGTAATTCTATAACACATTATCCTCCTGAGACCCAGCCCATTCATTGTGTCTTTTACAGTGGACATTGAGTTAACCAGTTTATCTTTTAAGTGTTTTGAGATAGATTCTTAATGGTTGCTGTTTAAATAGAGCTGGGGGATTATAGGGTACTGTCATGTCCAGCTGGCCTGGGAACGCCTTGGGGTCCCCCCCAGAGGAGCTGGAGGAAGTGTCCAAGGTGAAGGAAGTCTGGAAGTCCCTGCTTAGACTTATGCCCCTGTGACCTGGCCCCAGATAAGAGGAAGAAAACGGATGGATGGATCATGTCCAAATTAAAAGGGAGGCTAAAAACGTTTTGAGGTGACTGTAGAAGCTTGTCAGAGATGCTTGTCATCAAAAAAGTTGTTTTGTTAGGTTGGATTTAAAATGTCCCCAACGTCCATTACTGAGCACATATTACAAAATTATAAAGAAAAATAAAATGAACAAAATCAAAATTCTAAGGCATTCATTTACCTCCAAATAGATAGAAAAATCACAAAAAATTATATATTGCAATACACTTTTCTCCTTCAGGTCCCAGGAGGATAAAACACATTATGTCCATTCTAAAATGATTACTAGGATAATACCTTCTAAATACAAGCTAAATGTATTTTAAAATAGACTAATTTGAAGTTTTATTAATACCACTGCTCAAGTATCCATAAAGTAATTGTATTCAGCAACATTAGTACTTCACTTAGGTTTAAATAAAAAGTCATATTTATGTATGATGCCTGAGTATGTAGTAAAGTGGGACATACATGTTAGTGGTTGCAAAACTCATTTCAATATGCGTTTCAGTAAGAGTTAGTTTTAGTTTTGTTTATTCTTTATTGTTTGTTTGTGTTTATTTTGAACTCTCATGCACCAGCTGCACCTTTAATATCTCAGCCATCCCGTTGGACAGCTGTCTTGGTGGAAGTGTCTGGAAGAAAGAGCGGTCTAAGAATGTAGCTACAGGCGGCACGTAGCTCCCCAGTTTATTCTTGCCTCCTGCAAAGTTGACTCCAGTTTTGGCCCCTACGCTGGCATCAACATAGGCCAGCAATGTTGTGGGAACTCTTATGTATGGAGTTCTCCGTCTGTATAAAGATGCAGCCAACCCGACCACATCCAGGCAAACTCCACCCCCGATGGCTATGATTGGCTCAGAGCGTCTATCGATGTTAAAATCATGGACTTCTTGCAAGATCTTGATGACCAGTTCTAAAGACTTGTTCTCCTCTGTGGTTGGAAGTGGGAGGATTTTGTATACAACTTGTCTGGTGTCAAAATATTCTCTTACTCTGGCCCCATAGAGTTGGTGCACTGTTTCATCAATCACAACAAAACGTTTAACAGGTTGAGGCTTGGCAAAACTAGTGTTGTTGAGGTCTTCATTGTCCAGATGGCCCCAGAAAAGTGTGTCATTCCTGGGATCCAATAGGTTCTCACACTGAATGACTTTGTACGTGAAAACAATTGGGCTGACCACTGTCCAGGAAACTCCATGATGAGATTTTTTCTCATAGCTGCACAAAATACAAACAATTAAGCTGATTGATTTAGCAGAAGCAAGCTGATATTTTAAAACCTACAAACAGGGTAACCATATCACAATATCACATATCACACTTTCCATACAACGTACTACTACTACTAATACTACTAATACTACTAATACTACTAAACTACTTACCATTTAAGTAGTAAAAGGTGTGACTGTTATGTTAGTAGATGTTATCTGTAATTATTACTCAACTTAAAGGTGTAATATGTACATTATTAAAAAAACACCAATTGACCACCAGCTCTATAGACACAATCAGGTGACCCTCCACCAAAAAAGTTGCATAGTTCATCTATGAATAATGAATTTGTTTATATGAGCTACAATGGAAAGTAGTATTTAGTGACTTATAGTAACATACTAGTATATAGTACATATCATAGTAGAAAGTAACAACTAATTCTTAATTCAGTTTGTGCTGTATACTTTTACTAGTAATATTTTTGGAAGTTTAAAAGTTACTAGCCTTCCCCTGTAACATTCCAAACATATTTTACATGAGTGACCACTGCTTAAAATAGAAAAGTATTTCAGTCCTTCTATTATCATGTATCACATATCAAACAGCACATGCCCACTTACTACATAGGAATATTATTGAAGAAGGGTAAGCTCCAAGAAACAAAATAATATTGAAATATGCCATACCAATACTGACTTGCTTGTTATTTTACCCAATATTTTGAAATAAAACACAAGATAATGATATATTTTAACTTTTTTACTTACATTTTTGCATCTGAGAGCTTCCCTTCAGTCACCTGGTCATCCTCACTTTGCCGGACCCATGTACCCTTCACTTGGAGCAGATTGAATTTTGTTTGCGGTGGAGCAGAAGAGTTACCTAAGGGCATGACTTCAGTATCGTGGTCTCCATACAGCCACACTGACATTACCCCTGCATATCCCATGTCTAGGAAGTGACGTCTCAATGTTAGCCTAAACTACCTATCCTCCATTACCCCCAGTATGCATCTTATCAATGTAGAGCTGGGCGATGACAAAAATGTATTAAATTGTCTAATTAAAAACATAAACAAGACAAGACCTTTAATAAGTTCCATTTAAAATGTAAATTGAGTCTCTAAAGTCTGAACTCTGCTCCAAACCACATACTTCACTGACAGCGGGCCTCTCTATTTAAAAAAACCCAAAGCATATTACTGACTATCAGAAAAGACTGAATCTCTATCTCTACTCAGATTTGATTAACTGCACAGCCTTACTGTCTATATGAAATAAATCTTCTTGTACACATTAAACATGAGGCATTTATTCATAGAGATACATTTTTTACAATAATGACAAATCTAATATAGCACCACCTATAAGCTTAATCCCATAAATCAAGCAATGGTGAAAAAGTAGAAACAAACTACATGATTTGAATCAGATAATAAAATGAATTACATTAGATCATGTTGGCAGTGAACATTTTCACTTTTCATCTTTTCTACATTTAATAATATAATATGTACTAAAATAAAATCAGGTAGTGTCCTCAGTCGGATATACAGTGGGGGAAATGAAGTGCTACCCATCAGTGTTCCCTTTCCTTTGGCATCTCTGCTCTTATGTGCACACATACAAAAAGACTGTTTACATACTGATGTTTCTACTGTACAGAGAGAATTAAAAGACTAGGCTAAAAGAAAATCTGGTTTATTTACAAAACAATAACCCCCCAATAAGAGAATGTTTGGTTAAGCTAATGGAAATGTGAATAGGTTGCGTTCACGCGATGCCATCAAAGTCCATTTAAAACTACCCATAATTACAAATTAGGCTAGTCAGAATTCTATAGCAGAATTTGCCCTTAAACCCTATCAGAGGTTTACAGCTCTAATTACAGGGCAAATTCCTATGAAAAAATAGCACAAAAATCCTGATCTTCTCTGACAACACAAATGAATAAAAAGCAAAATAAAATCGTCACGTGATCGTCGCCTTTTAACCATGAGATTTATTTGGCAAAAAATAATAAGGCTTAACTTGCTGATGTAATCCCATCCTCATTCATCCAGGAGCGGTACATGGTAGAAAAACTTTCAAAAGGTTAAGAACAAGACATTTCAGCTGCCTTACAGAAGCTATTGCCAATCTGGAATGGAAGAGGCATTTTTTAATATAAAAAAAAAAAAAATCTTCTTTGAACGAAAAAGTTTACAATAGTCTTATGTTTAAAATAGGCTCCTCAAACCTAGGTCCAAACAGAAACAAAGCCAGTCAAATGGTAATCAGGTAGTTAAAGGCTACGAGGGAGAGGTTGATAGAGATCAACAGAGCAGAACGACCTGAAATTGGCCCAAAAAAGTCCAGGGCAAATCCAAGGGCAGAACCAATCTCCGCTCCACTTTGGGCTCTTGGGACCTAACGTTGAGATTGATAATGGCTTCCGGGTGGCAGCTTAAATGCCTACAATATTGTTAAAATTTTTAAGATTTTAATTTCAAAAACATTGCTACTCCCATAGAGTTATATAGGCCCTGGCTCAAATCTGAACATGAACGCAACCTTATTTGGAATCACAAAGACCCTCTCTGTTTGCAGTTGTTAGAACGGTTGACCTTTGAGTCAGAGTGAAGGCACGCGATCAAAATGAAAGCTTGGCCTCTCCGGACTCCCGTCCTCATGGTGCATCATCTCAGGGCTGTGGACAGGCTCGTCGTTGCTCTCAGGAGATTCATAGGCGTAGTTATCACAGATCTCCTCATCCTCTTGTTCCTCTTTGATATAGCTATATTCAAGATGAAAAAAGAGCCATTATAATGGCAAATTGATTTGATTTTGCTAAGACAAAAAAGAGATGTTATAATTTGCAATATTGTAAGCTTTTTTAAATGGACCAATATAATGGATAATAAGAATAAATGCCTATTGTGAATATGCAGATTGTTAGGCTGTTGGGTTACAGATGCCAGCAAAACATTTTTATGTTTTCTATGAAATCTATGGATTTCAGGATGATGAAAAATGTACACTTTTTTCAGAGGAATTAAGAATTTAAAATAAAATTATATATTCATTGGCCCCAAGTCCTCAAAATGGCACCTATAATCAGGAACAAGAAACTCATGAATAATGAATGAATAATTTTAATGAACCCAAAACATGCTACATAGGTCTCCAGGAAGAATAGCTGATAGCTGATAGCTAAGGTCAATTAAATACAATCAATTAACCTGCCCAGGGACAACAGGTGGAAATTAGCACTAGTGCTACAACCTGGTACAATGCATCTCTCCTGTTAAGGTTAATGTAAATTATGCACTATCCCTGTCTCATTAATTAAAATAACATGTTTAGTAGCAATTCTTGTAACATACTGAGTTCTGGGACAAAGTTGCAATTAAATGTGATTTTTCCTTTTGGATATTAATTATGCAAATACCATGCAATAAACAGGAAGAATGGTCTCTCTTGTTCCCCATTTAAGAGTATAACATCATCCCATCATCCCAAAACTTCAGAACCACCCATTGTTAACTTGGTCATGTGGTTAGATATTTTGTGTGATGCTTACAAAGACTGAGGAGGAGACTGGGTGGCGCTGCTGTCACTTTGGTATCCAGAGCCGTTGGCGAGGGCTCCATTCATCTGCTCCTGGAGAACTTGAGGCAGGGAATGTAGAGGGATGCTGCCCATAGAGGCTGTGCTGTACAGAGGGTTACTGCTGTCTGTTCCAAAACTCTAAACAATTACAACAGCCCATCATCAGTATTGTCTTTATAAAACTACAGATTTAAACCATAACTAAAGTGATATACTGTACCTGTGATGCAGAGCCAGCAACACTCTGTCGGCTTTGGGGGTTCTTTATTAAAGATCTGTTATGGAGAAATATGACGCCAAGTTATTTTTAATTTAGAAATTATCACCCAGCTTATACTTCACGCTTGGAGAACAACTTGTGCAACATAAATTTAGCTGTACAAGATTATCAGAAGTTCATCCTAACATGTTTTATTCTAGGTGAAAATGCATTAGCAGCTTTTTAGCATGATAATGAGGGTAATAAACAAAGATGCTTAGTGAACTGAAAAACATACTCCAATTACTAGGCACATGAGGACTGAAACTGTAATAATGGTTAACAGTAACTAAACAGTATACATTTTGAATAGATTTTTATACTACCTACCCATTACCAGCAGTCTTCTGAGGTCTTCTCCGGTGAAACTCAATTTCATCCACTGTCCAAACTGCACCTTTTACATTTTCCAATCGGACAAAGCATTTATGAAGGCTGAGGTTATGTCTCACTGCATTCTGTTGAGTTGACAAAACAATATTTCAGTAAACATGTAGTCCCCACAAGCGTTTTCTGTAAATATTGATTTTAACGGATAATTACATGTACAGTAGAGCATAATTAGTACCTTCCAAGTAGCTGCATTTCGCCTGAAATAGGCAAAGTTTCGAGTAAACCAGTTGTAGATTTCATTCAGTGTCAGTTGTTGTCGAGGTGATTCAAAAATTGCCTGTTGAAACATGTGAAATGTGTAAGGGATATTACTTTATAAAATAAGTTTATAAGATAGGTAAGTTAACAATTACCTGTCTTATGAGAGAAGCATATGTGAATGGAGGTCTGACTTCAGTGCTCAAGTAAAACTCTTTATTATCAACAATATCTATTAAAAAAAATAAAATTAAATCGGCATGATGTTCAAGTATATATTCAGGTTGTGTACCACTACTTTGTATGTCAAATAGTCACAATCCATTTTCCCATAACACAATATTATATCTATTTAATGGCCCAAGTTGGTTAAAATAGCACCTATAAGAGGAACCCTTATTGACTGATTCAGTACTGTGTATCAGATAAACGTACCAGTACCTTGGCTGACAGAGCGGCTGTAGCGCCTTCTCACTGGGGTCCCACTGAAGACACTGTTGGGCGTGAGGACTGAGGGGGACTCGGAGTGAGGCGTGACGGGGGTGGAAGGGGCTGTGGCACTTTGGGACAGGCTCATGGGAGGAGCAGTTTTGGGTAAGGGTGACTGTGAGAAGGCCTGCACACTAGACACTAGATTCACCTGTAGGAGAGATAGTACATGTATAAATCCGGGCTATTTCACTTGCGGCCTCCAAATATTAAAAAGATATAATTTTTTCCTGTTTAATAGTTCAGTCCTGGTGCGTACTAGTCTAGTTTAAATTTG